CTTGTAATTTTTTAAAAGAAATTTCCTTGGCTTAAGTATACCATTCTCTGGGTGTAGCACAACCAATTATCACCTAGCCTAAAACCATCACAATAAAAGCCAAAGGAGGATCTCTACCCCTCTCCCGTCTTCACACAGATCAGCGCGGAGCAAACTTTGAAGCAGTCCATAAATTGGCCCCCCTACGGGTCCGCCCCCGCCCCACCTTCGGTTGGGTCGCCCTCAGCGTGCCACCGGGGGAGGCCGGCAGAGCCACAGGCGGAGCGGCCACAAACACCTGTTTGTTCCCATTGTAGTGAACATGTCTCGTTTCGTCACCTCCGCGGTGTCCCATTCATGGCCCCTTTGAAGTGGCGGCGGCCCGGGGTCTTCTCCGCCGCCTCCGCCTCGGCGATGGAAGGTGAGGTGGGAGAGGGAGGGGGGGGGGGCGGTTAGCAGCAGTGACCCTCCAGGACGGTACCACACCGTGGACTGCTTGTGGGCGGGGCCGAGTGCCCTGCATCCACACCGGCCCACCCCGTGGGCTGGCGAACGCACACAAAGAGCACCGGGGTTAACCTCTGGGGGCGGCCGGGGCGGCCGAGGAGGGACGGTCGGTCCAGCAGCAGCAGCCTTGGGCAAAGACATGCAGTCTGCAGAGTCCGATCACCTGAGGGGGACCCTTTTCGCAAAGCGGTAGAGGGAGTGGCAGCAGCACTGTCAGCTGGCTTGTCGATCGCCCTCATCGCTTGTAATGATGCCAAAGTGCGGGGGCGCGGTCGGGGCCGCGCTGAGCAGAGGGCAGGGGGGCCACCCGCGTAGCGCCGTGGGGGGATCGGCATCACCCCCAGTGGACCCGGCGGGGGGTCGGCAGGGACGAGAGTCAATCTGTCTTCAAGTGTTGTGCGGCCGCGAGGTGGGAGGGATATAGACCTTTTCGACAGTGGTTGAGGTTAGAAACAGTTTGGAGGGTGCAACTTTTTTCTTTTGAACTGTTTAAAATTTTTGACTTGTAGCGCAACAACGGACGACTTGTTCCTTTGCGCTACGGAGTCAAAATTTGCTATTAGGGTTCAGTGAAAATGTTGCAGGCAATGAAAGTTTTCACCCCCTCTACCTCCTCCCCCCTCACCCCATCGTCGGAAAGGTCTATTGGGATGGGGAGAAGAAGTGCTTCAAGCCGCTCGTTTCTGACACGATTATTCCAGATCAAATGTTACTTGCGATCATACGTAAACATATCCCCGTCAAGTTTATTACAATGTTTTTGAGGTTATACGTTTCGAGTAAAATAAGGTTTCTCATTCTACAGTATCCTGTTGGTCGGTAGAAGAAACAGTGTCAGAGTCACACATTACATTAATCCACATCTCTCCTATTGTTTAAAGTACCAAACTGCCGTGACGCCTTTTATATACGGCATGAGAGGATTCATGGAAACAGCCAAATGCTACACCTCAATCTAGCCTCAAGTGGCTTTCTTCTTTCCCAGTTACGTTTTACATAGATTATTACTCGCTAGACATTCTATTATTTTCGCAGTTCAATAAAATAGTCGTTGAACTTACCTGGTGAATGACGCTGGTTTGGAGTCAGCCGGTGGACACATCAACGAGTTGAAGGCAGACCTGCGACCGCCCGGCCAGTCAGGTGAGGTTAGGCGCACGCGACGCCGCCGAATCCGTTAAACGCCGCGTGAAAGTCCGATTGAAGCGCATTTTAGTTTCCCCTATCGTGGCGTGGCGCGGCGTGTTGAGTCGCTTAGCGAATCAATGCGCCACAGGCTGGTGCCCCAGTCCCGGTGGGCCGCCGGCCGCCGCGGTCGGGTGGCTGGGCCGTACGTAACCATGCAAACAGCCGATGTGCCATGCGATGCGAGCGTGAACCAGTGCCCGAGCCGAGCCGTGGCCGATGCGTGGCAGGGCGTAGCAAAACAACAGAAGCCCCCAGGCGAGGACTTGCTTGGTGTCTTTAGTCACCCCGAATCAACAAGTCGAGAAGCTGTTTGTTGTTTCAGACCCGGACCGACGCCTTATCCGCGGAGCCTGAAGACAAGGCGTGGCATTCGGGGGTGGCGGGCCGAACCAAACTGACACACCTGGGGATGGATAGGTTTGTTAGTTTGAGCGGTTTTAGCGCTGCTGTTTATTTTCGTTTTATTGCTCTCCAAGGGGAGCATCCCTGCAGTCAATCTGTCCATACGTGTGGACTCGTTGACTTCCTTAAAGTCGATATCTCGCTTGCTTCTCTTTACCTATGACATACATCATGCTCACTTGAAACTATTCATTTCAGTTTCTTGTTTTACATTTGGCGGGCAGTCGTGTCGTCGGCTTTAGGAGGGATGGTGTAGGGGCGGCACAGCAGCACCGGGGTGGTCGCCGTAAAACTCGGGGTTGTCGCCAATTTGATTGCAGGATGCCAACTGCCACAGAGTGGAGGTGGGCACAATGGGGACGAGAGAGGCGGATGAGCTGCTGAACGATAGGGGACGGGCCATGAGGTGCCGGCGGCCGGGGGTTGTGGGGCCGGGGCGGTCGGGACACAGCCGCCCGGTGTGTCCCCCCGCCGCCCCCCGCATTACGATTGATAGGGGCTACAAAGGGGACGAAAATATTGAGGCGGGGCGGGGCGGGACGCGCGCTCCTCGCGCCTCCCATTCAAAGCGACACACCGACGGCCTGTCGCTTTGACTTTTTCACTTTTGGCCGCCGAGACCTCGCCGCGCCTTTTGTCATTCATATTCCGCACCTCCCGTGTGCGTCGGCACCGCACCGCCGCTCGCTCATGAGAGGCGTACGAGGAGTGCTCATAAGTGTGCATAGCCACCCGTCACCCCGGCATGAAGCCCGGCGGAAAGGGAACCGCCGAGGTCGTTCGGCGGGTGACTTTGGACCACCGTGCATATGGTGATCAGAGAGGGAATGGGATATTTAAATGCACTGCTCCTTTAGATAATTGCTTTCTTTAAATCCATAGGTACACCACACGCCACACAAGATTTACGTTGAATCACTTATCGATTGCAGCACCTATTTTCAGGAAGGGGAAAAAAATGAAAAATGTGCGTTGATTCCAGTATCGCCCCGTGGGCCACACCATCGGGCGGGCCGACGCCGCCGTCGGTGCCCTCCGTGATTCAGTGATTCATTACAACTGGTTCCTCGCATGCACAGTAGCGGCTGGTGGCGCAGGGCGAGCAGAGGCCGCGCCCGTGCGCCTGGCAACACCACCCCATCGTCCTGCCTATGTGCCTGGTCAGCAGCTCCGGGATAAAGGATAAAGGGTGATGTCTGCCAAAGAGGGTGGAGACTCAAGAAACGAACTTATCTTGCAGATGTGATGTGGTAGTGCGATTAAACCTCCTCAAATGTGCCGGATTAAGTTGTCCAAAGTTTAAGCTGTACCATCGAACGTCACTTCCCCTCTGCTTTAAAAAACCTTGGGTCTTCACAGGTCCTTCTTCGTGGCGCATATTTCTGTGGTATACCCCACATCATCAGGGTCTCTGGAGGCACACTCCTCCTGGACCAGTCCTGCAGGTCCTGTCGGGGCGGCGGCACACCGGGCGCCCGGCCCCCCGGCGAGCCCTCTGCATGGTGGGGCCCAAGCGGTCGCGACGTTGGCGGCGTTTCCTTTGAAGTGGCCGGCAGGCCGCCAGGCACCGACGCGCGGTGCGGCCCTGCGCGCGGCTGCGTCCGCGGCGAGCTCGGAGGCGCGCCACGCACCGGGACCAGGAGGCCGCCGCCGCGCACGCAGCCCTCTGCAGAGGCCGCTCTGCGCCGCTCTGCGCGGCGTGCTCAGGGCGTACGGGACGGCGGCCGCCAGGGCCCCACCAGGGCCCCACCAGGGGCAGGCCAATCGCTGGCCAGCAATTATTGTGCGAGGAATGTGCCATTAGGCGCGTTGCGTGGGAGGAGTGGCGCGGCGCGGCGGGGCCGTTTGGACGTGCGACGTGCGTCTGATGACGACCGGGCAGGCGCCAGCTGGGCGCCGAGTTACGTCTTCTTCAGGTCAGTCGTCGAGAGTCGATACCCCTGCTCCCTCCTGCTTCGGGGGGAATATTGTTGGGCCCGTTCCCGAACTCGTAGCGACCACAAACTCGGACGTGGATCAGCATCAGTTCCACTTGGAGGGCACCTTGGGGCGGTCGCGTGGGCGGAGGCACGTGTGGGGCCCTGTGTGAGTCTGTGAGCCCGCGAGACCTCTCGCTAGCCGAGAGCATGCCGCCAAGCCAGTCGCGCACTTTTGCATGTCAACCTGCTTTTCCCTCCACCCATGCTTTACTTCGTCTTTCTTTCTCTCTTTCTTCCGCAGATAAGGCACGGCCTCGGGCACGGCCTTACCACGCGGCCGTCTGCAGGCTGTCAACGCATGCCTGTGGTTCTCATACCCAACTAAGTTTTTCACTTTTCAAGGAAATCAGGCGAAAAGTCAAGTTTTGGGACTTTTGTGTCTTAGAGCAGAAGCAGAAGCGCGTTGGTCTGAAATTTTATTTTATTTCTAGGACGAATAGCCCATGTTTACCGGTCCGACAAACTGCTGAAATCTGTTTAAGATATGCTTGACTCAAGTTCGAAAAATAAGCGCCGCTGGACCAAACTAAACTCTGCGAACGGTGGCAAAGCTGGTTACCACTTTTGGCAGTATGCCGGTCTACTATTTTAAATGTTAGTTTTGTCCTCACGAGCCATAGGGAAAATCGAATTAGCAGCATATCGTCGTATACAAATTAAATTTTATTCAATCAAATTACAAATCTGCAAACTATAAAAACATGTACATTAATTTACAAACCACAATATAGATAGTGTCTTTATATCTCTTTTTTCTATTTTACAAAAATAAACATTTATTTGCAATATGCATCTCACAATATGACTCACATCAAAAGTCAGGAGGAACACATCATAAAACTTATATCCTTATTGACAAAGTTTTAATAAATACTGGTACAAAAATATATCACTCTAAAAGGTCCCAGGTAAAACGTATAATGTACAGTTAATCGCTTTTAAAAAACAAGTTAAAAAAGCCGTAAGTCTAAAATTAAATTTTATTTCGGCATCCACCGAACAACGTTTACACCTGTCTTACAAACTTAGGAACTTGAACTGGTGTACACTACTATAAATATGGAACATTAGACAATCATATAGGCGTGCACAAGATATATCCACACACACGTTAATTTTAATAATTTTAGGTGGTTTAAAGTGCACGTATCACAACGATGGAGTGATTTAGTACCTTACAGTAAAAAGTTACAAACTCACATCAAAAATATATTTTCTTGGTCAGTCATCTATGAGGAAAAAATCATGTCAAAGAGACTTTGAAAACCATCGTAACAAAAATATCTCGATAGAATTATCCCGACCAAATTTATCTCATATCACAATGAAAAGGTGGTCTTCAGATGCAAACACCATATAATCTATATATAAGTCGAGGAGGGCCTCCCTTCTTAGATCAAAACTGACTGGTGACTGGATGAGTCAATAACATGGACAGTATATAGATATTCCTCAAACCGTTGCGCAAATTTTGAGAGCGAGAAGTGCGACATTTTGTGCCATTCCTGCGGTCTGTACGTCTATACGATGACACAAAACTGACTGGATTGGAGGTCGTTCACTGACGGGAAGAAAAGGTAGTGATGTCCCCCTCGAGCACTGGTAACGTCGCCCTATGAGTCCTTGCGACGTGCCTTAGCCGAGTTTCCGCAAGGTCTCCGTAGACATGTCTGGTGGGCCTCCGATCACAGCAGCTGACGGTCAGTGTACCCGGCCGCACACCATGCCCGCCTCCATGGAGCTGAGCTGACCGAAGTACGGGTACCCGGACTTGGCCTCGGACGGCGAGTGCGGCGTCAGGTTGGTGGCGGTGTATGGAGACGCGCCGCTGGCAAACAGGCTGCAAGCAGACAAGACACAAAACATGAGTTTCTCGAAAATTTAGATGAGAGCTCCTCTAGCGCCTAACTATGAGTTCCGAATATGTATTGTGGACTCCGCGAATAACGGAATCACATGCTGCTCCGAGAATTATTCTGGATGGCCGGCTGATTTTTAGGTGCAAGACAGGCGAGTACTCAGGGCAGAGCGTGCTGTATGCCCCATGTATGGCAAAGGAGGAAATGAACTGCTCGGCCAAAGAAAGACTGCCACTGGACGACTCCGTGCCTGCCTCATGGCATGTATATCTCATCTACGCCCCACCGGGAGCACCAGAGGTCCGCGTCCGCGATTGCCCTTACCACCACGCCCCCGTCCCCTTCGCTCCGCTCCGCTCCAGGAAAGGGGTGCATTTCCTGGAATGGCGGCGCCTCGGAGCCCTACTGTAATGAAGCCCCAGGCACAGAGGGGCTGGAGCTGGGGAGCGCTGGCCGCGCCGCTGTCCGCGGCCCCACATCCGCGTCGAGCTCCGCAGCGCGCCCCGCTACGCTACGCCACGCCCCGCGCGCCTCGCCCCGCCCCCAGCGCCTCAGCGCGGCCACAGCGGCGCGAGAGCAGCGCCAAGCCAGCCGAGCAGCGCCACCACCAAGGTGAATAGCAAATTATACCGCAATGGCGGGTTGTGCATATCCGCCTCCTTTGAGGCAGGCGTGGCGGAGCAGAGCGGGACAGCGCGGCGGGCATACCGCGGCGGCCACCGCGAAAGGTCATCGCCATTCCGATACCCACTAAAACGGGAGAGAGTGAAATGGCACCAGCGAGCAGCAGCTGACGAGAGGGCTCGAGGGAGACCCTACGGAGACGCCAGTCGCAGAAAAGGCTCTTTAAGCGATGGACGGTCGGCCCCACGGAACGTTTTCCCAGGGGGTTCTGTTCTGATTCCCTGGAGCGCCCCGCTGCCACCCAGCCTGGAGCTCCCTGGAGGGCTCCGCCGCACACGTCGCCGAGGTGCTGGCCACGCCCAGAGGCCACGCCTCGCCACCGCTCCTCGGCGCGTCGGTAATTGCCGGTGAGGTGAAGGGCATCTCGGAGAGCGATGATGGGGAGCCAATGTCTCTGCAGGCGGGCGCCGCCTGGGCGAGCCGCGGCGTGGCGTGGCGGGGCGCGGCGGGGTGGCACCGCGGGGGGTGGGGACCCCCGCTGCGCTACGCTACGCCACCGCGCCGCGAGCCGTGCAACAGCAGCGCGGAAAATAATTGCCCACAGGCGGCACCCGGATGTCACCCCGAGGGCCCCCTCCTCCCGCGGCCCCGCCCCCGAGGAGGCCCCCGAGGAGGCCCTGGAGCCTCCAGCGGGTGGTCCAGCTCCGGCCGCGGTGACGTCACCACACTGGTATAGGCAAATCCAGGACGCTTGCCAAAGATCTCCCCCCACCCCCTACTCCCCTTCTCCCCGCTTTGGCAGCCCTCCGTCGCCTTGATCCCTTGCCCGCGCGCAACCATGGCGTTACGTATTCATCCGACAGAGCGGGCCGAGCGGCGGCGATGTTCCTCTCACTCCTCTCGCCGACAAAGCGCGTTTGGGCGACTTTATTTATCAGTCCGAGGTGCGGGTGAGGCCACGGGCCCGAACCGGGCGAGGTGGGGCGGGCGCAGCGATTTATCGCCCGCTTTGGCCGTCGTCCACTCCCGCCGGATTCATTCATTTCATATTTTTCCTTGATTTCATTCATCTGTTAGGCCGGACGACGAGGCAGGCGGCGTCCGGCTGTTTTCAGCGACTCCGATTTAGGGGACACCTTCCCGAGCACGTCCCTCCTTTCGCCTCTCCCCCTCCCTCCACCCCTCCCACGCAATCTGCCCTGAGCAGTCGTTCGTTCCTGCGACTTACTGACCCCTTCTTTCTGGAGCGTTTACCTTGCCAGCCACGTGTGATGCTGTCACTACGGGCGAGGTGGGTGGGAGGGAGGG